CCGGCCTAGTTTCAGGTAAACCGGCGACTATCACGGTGGTTTGTACTTAGAAGGATCTCAAAAAGGAGGAGGGGGCCATTAATCAGGCTGAAAATCAGATGATCGACAAGATTCCAAGTTTTTGGATTACTGTGTAAAATTTCTTTTTTTCTATTTTTTTTTTTTTTTTTTGGAGGGGGGTCGGTTGTCCTAGTGGGTTAGAACAATACTCTTGTGAATATGATATGTTGCCTTTTTCACAACCTTTTGGGGTGTGTAAGACTATGGATACATAGAGTCAAAATCACATCATTTACCTTTGCCGTTCATATTTGGACTATAAGTCTAAATAGTTTTCGTGTCAAACCCCACAAAACTGTTCCAGAAAACAATATAAATTGTGGGCTAATCTAATTTAAAATGAGAGTCACTTGTGCACTTATTTACAATTTTGTACGTATCATTTAAGATTCAGATTGTGTGATTTTACACATTATACAGTATAAAGTTCATCGAATAAACAAAAATGTTTTAAGTCTGAGAGCCTTGTCCTATACCCCAATGGAGCACAAAGTAAGTTGCATAGTCCAATGCCTTTCATTATTGATGGATTTGTACTTGGATACCAGAAACCAATCATGACGAAGTTACATTTTCAAAGGCAACTTTAAAAACCAGTCAATGGACAATGCATGCATTTTTTTCACTCTTATGAGAAGACCAGTTAAAAAGAGGTGAAAAATACAGATAAACTGTTTGAAAGGGAGAGTTAGCCCTATCTATATATCTAGTAATCTACACTTTGACCCCTAATCTAGAATCCAAGGATATATATATATATATATATATATATATATATATATATATATATATATATAGCCTTTGCACACATGCAAATATAAGCACAAAAATTAATCTTCTCTTAAATTCTGTATCTACATGTACAAATGATCAGTTTTATTTAATAGGACACTTTTCTTATTGCATTAATGATATATTTTATTAGGCGATTTTCATATTTTTTAAAGTTCGCATCTTTGGCCCAAAAAAGTACATGTTCATCCATGTGCTTCTATAGTAAATAAAATTTGTTTTCGTTATGATTATTTCTTTAGCTTTTTAAAAAAGTTTTATGAATAAAAATATGAAGTTGAAAATGACCTTTCAAACATTTACATGAAAGAGAAACTGAAGGTACGTAGATATATTTACTTTGTGTGAGGGGGAGAAAAAAATATATAGACAAAAGGAATTGAGTATATATTAAAATAAAAATGAACATGTATGATATATAATTAGTAGCAAGTTTTAGATGAGTTGGGTACATGGGTTAGGGCAACATTTTTTTTAATAAATAATAATCAAATTTTAATAAATGGATGACAAATACATCTTTAACAAAATTAAAAAAAAAAGCATATAATTGCCCTAAACGCAATTTAACTACTACAAACCCTTAAGGATCAATGCCCACCCACTCCTTCTTATTTACTTCAATTAACAACTTCCCACATGACCTTTAACAAGAAAAAAGAATCTCTTTCTTTTTATATCTAAACAATAATATGTATAACTTAAAATAGATTTATCGATTTAATTATGAACAGTTTCTTATTGCTATTAAATATGAATCGGACTGATCTGTGGTCCTATATATGTAGCCGCTCTTCAAGCTTATATAAAATTGAACACACAAGACACATAAAAGAACTAATCCCACCCAATCCTAAATCTATATTGTGAACTTCGATTTCATAACAATTTCTCAATCATGACCCACACAATATTCCTTCCACGATGATCCCTATTGTCTGTCTACATAAGAAGCTTGAACTTTGAACTTAACAGAAATTTACTTTTCTTGTTCGTATCTAATGAAATTATAGTTTCCAAAAAAAAAAAAAAATCTAATGAAATTATTGATCTTTTCCTTAACTGTTGTGTCTAATTTAATGAATATAATTAATGTAATCTATACTGATTTTGAATAAAAAACACATAGCAATAACTAATAAACTAAGGAAATCGATAAGCTTATTCCTTCTAAAACCTGGTAACGAAACTGATAAAATTGGCGTTTATTTTAACATATATTGAAATTCATTGACAAGTAATACCCTTTTTCTTTTGACCTATAAAACTCTAGAACTATTACTTATCTCTCTTCCGTTTGTGAGAGTTTTCTTTATATATAAGCGAGAACACGGGTACATAAAAAAAACTTGGTGTGTCGTGTATGTACGCAACAGAATTTGTTGTACTTTATGACATTGAAATCCATTGTATTTTGAGGCATATGCTTAGAAGCTTTTTGTTGCATTTCTTTTCCCTTACCAACCAAAGACTTTTGTTTAATTAGCAAAACCTTCAATATTCCCGTTCTCTTAAAAAGGTCTGTAACTAACTGTAACTAACTTGTTAATCATCCTTTTATTCATAAATTTAGGCTTTTCAATTTCTTAGCATTTATGAAAAATAATAAATTAAGGGAATATTTTAGACAAGAAAAAGAATAAATAGCAACCAAATGGGAACTGGTTATATAGGCATATAATGTAAAGCGAGAACAACCAAAAGAAAAGAAAAAGTAAAGTAAAGGGAGGTGTGGAGCAAATGGTTATGGTGGCTTTAAGTTGATTGTAATTTCATTGATTACCATTTTGATCCCACCAAATAAATACCAGCTTATTAATTTATTTGTTAGGTACATAACTGCACATTGATTTCTGGGGTGATGATTTAATTAACCAAGAAATAATTAATCATCATTTGGCTTTTTATGCATTACTTTGACTGTCTTCATATTTTATAATAAAGCCCTAAATAGCCGACAAATGTAATTAATCTTGCCAAAAGAATACACTTAAAAAATCTAAAAGTTTCTTGTTAAAGAGTAATCAATTTAAGTATTATTTACATGGTAAACGTTGGCCAGATAAAAGGAAAATTACGTAGCTTTAAGAACCATTATTGTCTCACCTTTGTTTTTCACCAATTGGTTACCATGTTGTTCCCTTACAATACGTATCATTACTCAATAATTTCCAATACATTAATCTCAAGCTCTCTAATAAACATTACATTTTAGTTTAAACTGCTTAATTAATTATATCATTGATGCATTGACCTAACGTTCTTATATAGGGCAAAATAGGCTATGATGAAAATCTTTGTATTTGGCTTTAATTACTGACTTATGATTTAGTACTTCGTTTTGCAGATTATACTAATTAATATGTCATTCTGAGATCAAAGTATATAGGAATTAATTTATAATAATGTTGATTCAAAGAGTATTATCGAATTGTATCGACTTAAAAGTTTTCAATTTGATATTTTTTAATAATTTCTATCGGTAGATTATCTATAAATACTATCATAAACTTTTGTTGAAACTTATTATAAATCTTCTTGTAAAAATAAATAAATGCTATGAGATGTTACAAATAAATAAAATATTTCTCTAACAAAGTCAATACTCAAAGTATAGCTTCTGGATACAAAAATTGTTTGGTTTCTGTTCTACAAAATAGTTTTTTAATTTTAAAAACAAAAAAATTAAAAAAAATTGTTTGGTATGAGTTTTCTGTATTTGCTATTCTAAAAATAATCTCTGTTCATTAGTTTTTAAAACAAAAAATAGACAACAACTCTTACCAGTAAGCACGGAACAACATCTCATTAATATAGCAATCTGATAATTATAATCAAACAAATTAGTTTTCTTCTTTTTTATACGAATCATTTTTTTTTATTTGAAAACAGCTGTTTTTGTATACAAAACAGCTTTTATAAGTTGTTCTATAAAATAGTTTTAAAAACAAAAAATTGAGAATACAATAAAAAACAGTGCTAAAATTCTGGCGCGAGTCTTGGGCTTTCCTTGTTGCATGTGAGGCCTATATTCTGTGCTTTTAACTTTTTCTGAGTTTTCTTATAATATTTCTTTACCCTTTTTGAATAGTTTAACTCAATATTATAAAAACCGGACTGGTCATGTCGACCGAAGCCTGATGGATCTAATATTTGACCGATCTGATTATTACATTGGGTTGGTTAAGTATCAGACCAGGTGTGAACTGGCCGATTTTGGTGAAATAAGTGACCTGACATGATTTATTTTCAAAAAAAATTCATAATTAACATATTTGAGTGATCTATTGCTTATTTTTTTTTTGGTAAAAGGATCTATTGCTTATTAACTTACATAAGTTATGTATCTTCAATACTAATATTATCTCAGTTATGCACTATGTAGGAAATTTTGATTTGATTTATAGTTAAAAATGTTGTTTACTGAACCTGAAACACATTATCATAAGCATTATATGTTTGTTTGATCTTTTATTGGACAATAACGTATAATTTATTATTTTTTATATTAAAATATTTAGAAGTTATATTATTTTTTTAGCTATTTGAGTATGTTTACCATTTTTTAATATAAATTATAGATTTACACATAATCATCGGGTCACGGGATTCAATAATAACTCACTGGTTGAACCAATAAACTAATGACGCGGTATCTCGACCGGAGCAATGATTGAACCAATTTTAATAACATTGTTTTAACTAATTTAAAGGGAGCGAACCGGAACAATGATAAAACTGTTCCTTCATGACTGAAAAAGGTCATGGGTTCGAATCCAGAAAACAGTCTCTTTACAATTATGCAAAGGTAAGACTGCGTACAAATATTTCCTTCACCCAACACTCGCTAGTCGGATTTAACGGAAAATGGTTTTTTGTTTTAACTAATTTACAATAATAATAATAGCCGCTTGCCGGGCCATTAATTTATGTCTACTATTTAGATAGCGGCAGGAACCAATAGAATATACAGAAGAAAAAGTAATGAAAAAATAAGTACCCTTCTCCTCCTCTGTGTATATATATCAACACTCTTGCCTCTTAGCTTTCCTATCTTACACCCTCCACAGATATATCCTTTTCTCTCTTTTTTTTCATACATCAATTCTCATTCATTCATCTAAATTCACCAAGGCCTATATTTAATTATGGCTCCAACGGGTGACAATGTTGTTGTGTCCAATATGGAATTGGAAAGATTGCTTAGCATGAAAGGAGGCAAAGGAGAGGCCAGCTATGCCAACAATTCCCAAGCACAGGTACATTAACATATCATCTTCTTCTTTTCTTTTTCTTTTTTTCAAATTATTAATAACACAAGAAAACGTTTTCATTCACATACCCTCAAAATAATTAAGCTTTTCTAATATTATGACATGCTAATATATACACAATATGTTGTTTACAAAAGCTCAAGCTAGCTAATTAACATATATATACCAAGATTAACCCATGATTTATGAGATATATAATTGCATGCAGGCCATACATGCTAAGTCCATGCTTCACCTTCTGAAAGAAACCCTAGACAGAGTTCAACTTCATGCAACTGAGATCCCATTTGTGGTTGCGGACTTGGGGTGTTCATGTGGCAGCAACACTATCAATGTGGTGGATGTTATCATCAAACATATCATCAAACGCTATGAGGCTTTAGGGTGTGAGCCACCAGAGTTCTCTGCTTTCTTCTCAGACCTTCCTAGCAATGATTTCAACACCCTCTTTCAACTTCTTCCTCCACTTGCCAACTATGGTGTTAGCATGGAAGAATGCCTCTCCGCCAACAACCACCGCTCCTACTTTGCCGCCGGAGTTCCAGGTTCTTTCTATCGGAGGCTTTTCCCGGCGAGATCCATTGATGTTTTCCACTCAGCCTTTTCTTTACATTGGTTATCTCAGGTAACCAAGTATTGTTAATCTCTCTCTCTTTTCTTTATTATTATTATTATTACTTTCTTCTCGTTATAGTTTTTTTTTTTTTTTTTTTTAATTTTAGAAAAGAAAAAGATTGGGATATCTATATTCCTTCTTGTTCCTAAAACTTACGTTATTTGATTTATTTTTCTTTAATTTTCTTTGCAACTTGAAGTGGTTCAATTATTACACCAAATTATACTAGATTTCAAATCATTCTGTATGACATTTGTTTCTTTCATCATTCTTTTGCTCATGATCTTTAATAAACCTTTTGATTAGAATTCTAACTTTAAAGTACCACACATTTCTTGGGATCTTTTTGTGAATCACGATTACTTTAATTAATTTGATAAAAACCTATGTTGAAGCAATTTCTCCCTTTCATGACTTTCTTTTTTTCTCTCTCTTTTTCTTATTTTTTTGATTCACCCCAATTAGCTACCTATCAATAATCAAACATTCAAATATTCTATATACATGCATAGTCTCTGTCGTCAATGCTGTAATTTCAACGACAAAATAAAAGGCCGGCGTAATTATTTTCCATTTCCCGAGGAAAATATAGTAAAACCATTATTAATTTGAATACCAAAGTCCTAATTTATGGTCAAAAAGTGAATGCAGCAAATTCATGGTCTATGGGGTTGAAAAGAGAACCTTGTTTTAGAAAAACAATGACGTGTTTGAACAGTAATTTTAATGCATCGCAAGCACACAATGTTTTTCAACTTTCATGCATCTTGAATTCTAATAATATATGGGCCCAGTATACAGAATTTGATTACCAAAGGAGACACATGCTTATATGTTGAATTACACTAACTTTTTTTATTTTTATTTTTATTTTTATAATATAATTTATTTACTTTGGTTGGACCTGTACCCTACACAGGTCCCAGAATCAGTGGTGGACAAGAGTTCAAGTGCATACAACAAAGGGAGGGTGTTTATCCATGGTGCTGATGAGAACACAGCAAATGCTTACAAGAAACAATTCCAATCAGACTTGGCATGCTTCCTGAGTGCAAGGTCAGTGGAGATGAAGAGAGAAGGGTCAATGTTCTTAGTTTGCTTGGGAAGAACTTCAGTGGACCCCACAGACCAGGGTGGGGCTGGCCTTCTTTTTGGGACCCACTTTCAGGATGCTTGGGATGATCTTGTCCAAGAGGTAACTATCATAAATCACAAAACATTTTTATGCATGCTTGTGCTTGTGTGAACAGTGGTCACCACAGACCATAAAGGGGTTGAAACCCTGAGCAGATAAAAATGCTTGAGTGTTGTAGGCATCACCAGAACTTATCATGAGTTTTCACTGGCCAAAAATTGATCCCAGCCATTGGTTAAACACTCCAAATTGATCTGGCCATCCATTTAATTATTGATCATCAATGTCGGTAGAAATAATAATTAATTGCTTGCTGGCAGTGTCAGGTGGTCCATAATATTGTCCAACAATTTGGTTCTGGATATGTAAACTTTAGGAAAAATACAGAATCATATCATCATATCTTAAAGCTATAGATAAAATGTTTTTGCATTCATATATATGATCATTTTTTCATCTAATGATCGTAGCCCAAGGGACCCAACAATTTATTTGAACAGTCAAAGAAGGCATGCACTTGCAAGTATTATCCTCTACCATTTTACACGTCCAAGTTCCAATACCGTAATCAACAAAGTACAGAATATAAGTACGACTATATAATAGGATGTCTCGAGTATTTAGAACAATTTCAATAACTAAAAGATACATGGAGGATTTGAGTTTATGTTATATCTTTCATTTTTTAGTCACACATTATTACCTATTTGAGAATGTTATTATTTTTTTTTTTTCTTGTTACCTTTACATTAAAAGCAAATACTTTGATTTAGTTTACTGGTTCTGTTCTGCAACTCGTGTTTAAAATGATCAAGTACTAACTATTCATAGTTTATAATCACTTTTTATGTATTGATTGATATGTACATGGTATATATATAAATTAAAGTACATCATATTCTTGATTGCAGGGATTAATTAGCCACGAAAAACGAGACAGTTTTAACATTCCAGTTTATGCACCAAGCTTGCAAGACTTCAAGGAGGTGGTTGAAGCTGATGGTTCATTTACCATAGACAAACTTGAGGTATTCAAAGGAGGAAGTCCACTTGTTGTGAACAAACCAGATGATGCGAGTGAAGTAGGCAGGGCTCTAGCCAATAGCTGCAGGACTGTGTCTGGAGTCCTTGTTGATGCTCACATTGGTGACAAGCTCAGTGAGGAACTGTTTCTTAGAGTGGAGCACCGAGCTGCAAATCATGCTAAAGAACTATTAGAGCAACTACAGTTCTTTCACATTGTTGCATCCCTTTCAAGAAAAGGGCCACTTGAAGATAAGACGACAAAGAAAAGGGCTTCTCCTCACAACTTTCCTTTGTGTGTGATAAGTGCATAGAAAGAGTCAAAACACATAAAAGAAAGAGAAAAGAGAGGTTCACCACTTCCAACCTCTTGTTTTCTCCCTCCTTTGTGTGTAGTTTGTGTTATTGCTGACTGTAGTTACTTTCTACACATTATGCTGTCTGACTTATGTTGTTCCCTTGGATCTGAACTAATTTTGCTTTCCACATAGCACATTATATTGTCCATATTTTGTGAAAGTTGTATGAATTAATGGAACTTTATATGCCTTTGTACCTAACAAGCTAGGTTGTTGGATGCATTTGATTTTAGTCACATTTTCTTTTCTTTCTTGTCCTCATCAATCTAACAACTTTTTTTCTTTCTTCATTTCACTAGCCAAACTAATATGTATATAAATAATAATTAGTTATGTTCCGTTATAATTGCAAGGTTAAAAGATGGCTTCTTTTCAAATACTTTAACGTGTTCCTTGTCCTCATTTAGTTGGTAGAAAAAACGGAAAACTTTATCAAAAGAAAAGAGGAATACAGAGGAGGATCAGGAATCCAATCAAAATAAACAGAAACTAGCAGAAAATAAAGAACAAAATAGGAAATAAGCTGATGAAAAGAGCTCTCTAGTCTCTCTTAGCATCTGATGCTGAAACCCTCATAAAATGAACTCCACATGGAAGAAAGAAAAAATTGTCGTGTCCCATAAAAAAGGCACAGGTAAAGATCTATCCAGATCCACCACAGAACTTCTGATAAAGGGCACAACTCCAAAGTGTGATAGGCTTCTTTCTTCTCTAAACGTTAAAAGCAAATAGAATTTAAATGCTTAAACACCAATTTACATAATGATCGACTAGTTTAGAACTTTACATGTAGGTGGATCTTAATTTTGATTCTCAGCAAAATTTGACACTTTAATCCATTATTCTTGTACTCCAAAACGCTTGGAGAGACAAACACTATTATACTGATGAACTCACAATTTCATATGGACTCAGAAAAAGAAACTAATTTACTGATACACACTCTTCAAAATCCTCCTCTGATGGATACAAAATAATAGTATCCGACACTTCTGGCAGTGTAAAGCTCACCTTTTTCTTCACCTTACTACTTTTGCTTCTAGTAAATGAATTAAACCCCATTTCTTTTTCATCAACCTTTTCATCTATCAAAAGTTTCTCCGAAGAGATAGTAATACTATAGTCCGAAGACAAAGGTTTATAATCAACACCATTCAAGAGTTGCTCCAAAGACATACTATATTCCCCGGAGTCAGAAAAACAGGTACTTTCTGTAGCTACTGAGGGATAATCACTCCCAGAACGATGCTTAAAACCAGAATCTTCAACAATATTGCAGTTACCATCTTTTGCCAAAATTGGTGATTTTATAAGCCACTCCTCTAATGTATATGTGATCTCCTTACCCATTTTCAGATGCTGCTGCTTTTGCTGCCCCTCTTTTTTCTTCTTTCTCCGGATGTAAGTTCTCTTGATATTATCAACAATCCATGCTATTACACAGAACTTTTCATGGCAAGACTCCTCCTTAGGTAATCTTTCATGGCTAAAAAATGGCTCAGAATAACAGAATGAGAAGTTAATTCCCATTCCGTTTAATTACTTAAGGGAAGGGTGAGAAACATAGTATGAACTTATGCTAAGACTATATAGGACGCCTAAGACGTGAGGAAAGAATATTACATTCCTTGCCTTTGTTAATATCGACAAGAAGTAATAAGCAAGGAACATAACTGAGCAAATAATGTTTATTTCTGTTCTACATATAAGGCTGCATTGCGATTAAATAAACATGAATAAAAACCTATATATAGCAGTTTTTTTTTTCTTCGATAAATTTATTATCACGGCCATCACTAGGAATTCTGAATAACTCAGCCATTTAATTACATGCATATATATATTAAGAGTATTGTGGTCGTTCATTTGGTTATTATGAGTAAGATGAAGACGAATTTCTAAGCACACGACATTATATCATCATTCATCAGTGAAGGACTACATGACTTTATTGCAAACCTAAATTTAACTAAAAATAACATGGTTTGTACAGGTAACAGATTCATCTTAATGGGCGTGTCCCTCAAATTTGTTTTCCCAAATAAACATTCATTCACCTACACAGCATCTTGATAGTAACTAAAATTAAGATAACTCTTGGCGTTCCATTGAGATTCATTCGGCCTTGGATTTTCAGCCTGTTAGAAAGCTCTTTAACTTCTTCCTTTGTTTTCATGGATGAACGTAACAATTTGCAGTCAGTTCAGTGGGCGAAAATATTAGACTGAAGTGTTAGATTTCACTAATGGTCCTGTGGCTATATATACGAGTATATCAAAAATCAACTAAGTTTTCCTATATGCTTTGAGCACCTAGAGCAGCAGCTGTCTCGGCTTATGTTTTTTATTTTTCTTATTTTTTTTTATTTTTTTTTTGTATACTTCTTAAACATATGAAAAAGAAAAGAAAAAGTGAAGAACAAAAAGTTTATGTATTTATATGAAGGTTTAATATCTCTAGTATTATATAAATAAAATTATTTCTTACACACATATAAAAGTGTGTGAAATTTATATTTTTTTTTCTCTTCTCTTCACATGAGCTCCACACACTTTTTTATATGTGTGTAGGAGATAATTTTATCTCATGTGACATGAGAAAAATCAAACCCTTATCTCAATTAGCTTATTACATACTTAAAATAACATGATTAAAATGTTATTGAAAGAGTTTTATTTTTATTTTATTTTTAAAAAAAACGAGAGCAATTTTTCCGTAAACATTAATGAAAGCCCATCACATGTGTAAGGAAGATGTTAAGAATGAACCCTATTACAGCTTGCGGCATCCCATTTTTTAAAAGGCAAAATTCACTATGATAATTTGCATCATTATAATATTTATGATTGATTTATATATTTTTATGTATAAAAATAAATGAATGCTATGGGATAGAAGAACAATCATGATTTTATGTTTTACGAATTTTTAATTCTCTTCGATTTTACTTAAGATCTCGATTTTAATAACATTAGCCCAGTTGTCCCACAAAGGGGTTGGCTTTGTTTTCTTTTTAAATTTTTCCAACCAATAAATCAACGAAAATCCAATTAGTCCAGATCTAGTATTGTCATATATATATATACCATTTTTCTACATTCCCAAGTCCCAACTCAATGTCTATTTTTTCAAGAGATTTTTTTTTTTTTATCACTTGAACAAATAATTGGCGGTGATGACTACCTCTTTTTATGAGAGCTGCTGCAACTTAATTCCGCTACCCCAACAGAAATGTCAAAGGTAACAGGTTATGAAGAAGCTGATCAGTAATCTAATAGGGTAGATTCAGTTTAAGAGTGAAATCATTCTATGGACCTGTTGGCTTAAATTATTCAATTAGATGATTATGCGTTCGAGGCTTCATTAATATCAGAGTTTCGAAGGAGAAAATGATTTTTGGTTTCTTCTTGCCGAGTCTTTCTCAAGAGTCTCAGTCAAGACACAAAACGATTGTTTACAACAGAATCATGATCACTCTAATTTCAGACGGATGCAAAGGATATTGTCAGAAAAACATTTTTTTTCCATTGACATATGAATATCCAATTGTTCGATCTTTTCTTATAATAACCCAAACACCCTAACTAAATACACACACCTTGCTGAAAAGGAAGGAATAGGTACAATTTGGTTAAACTTACCAAACCTATTCCACTTTAGTTCTTATATGACTATTCTCGTCAATAAAATGTGGGTATCAAGCTGTGAAAAATATGACTATCCTTTACAAAAATGTAGTCATAAACCGAAATGGAATCAGTTTAGTTTATGCCAAACCAATTTGTACTAATCCCTGAAATGAAACTTCTTAAGCAAGAAGTTTTATGCTGTGCTAAGGAATTTCGCTGCTGACATTCAAATTCTCAAGGGTCAATATATGAATGAACGTAAACCAAAATTGTGAGAGAAAAGACCCAAAAAAGAAAAGGAAAATTGTTCCGGACAGAACTGAAAATTCATCAAGCAGACATCTTATTTGTATAAAACACAGATCCCTTGACAGACAAACGAATCTCAATAACTTACTCATAAATGACAGAGAGCACACTCCAAGCAGATTTCATGATTTCCATTCATGTTCACTGAATTTCTTCACGCTTTACTGCATGATGAATATAATATTTACAAAACAAGGCATGCAAATGATAGGTAGAAACACCTTGGAAACCATCAACGGATTTTACAAAAAATCTTACTGGCCAGCCGATGGATTTGTCAGCAACTCAAGTGATTTCCTTAAGAAGTCTACTGCAGTTGAGACATCATCGAATGCCAGTGCCCCAACAGCAAATCTTGCAGCCTTGTGTGCCTCTGCTATTTTTTCAGGTGCCGGCTGGTAGTTACTGTCATAATGGTATGTCTGAGAAGTTGATTTAGGTTCCACGACAGTTCCATTTCTGCTGCTGGAACTATGTTGGACACTTGATGAATGGTCTGTAGTTAGTGGAGCTGACTGGGAAGAATATGAAGCATCAGACCCTTGATAAAAAGTATAGTTTGATGGGACTGATGGCAGGCTGCTTTCTGTAAAACTTGGATAAGACTGAAAATTGGGATAAGAGTAAGAGGTGGGAGTTTCATGAGAAGGGTAGGTAGGACCTAAATGCTGTGAATGCTCTGGTGAGTAGTGCTGATGGTTGTAGAGATCAGAATAAGAAGAACTTTCTGATCTGGCAGGGGGAGGATGATGGAAATCTTGGGTAGGTGGAGGAGGATGGTAATCTTGGGAAGGTGGAGGAGGATGGTAATCCTGGGAAGGTGGAGGAGGATGGTAATCCTGGGAAGGTGGAGGAGGATGGTAATCCTGGGAAGATGGAGGAGGGGGGTAGTCTTGGGAAGGATAAGCTGCAGGTGCATAAGTGTGAGAGGATGGAGAAGCAATGGAAGAATGCTTATTATCATTTACTCTATCATGAAGCTGCATAGATGGTGGAATGTTTGCAGAATGCTGGTCGTTAACAGTATCATGAAACTTAGGCGCAGGATGAATGCTTGGAAAGTTCTCGTAGTTGACAGGGTTGTGATAATTTTGTGATGAATCAGATTCTGGTCCTGGACTGGTAATAGTAGTTTCGGAAGTCCCAAGGTCCTGCAAAAATAAACAGCTGAAAGTTAATTGTTTATATTCTTTAATCTATTTATATGTTCTACTTATTGGTCAAACTCCGAACACACCAGGTTAAGTTTTGAATCATACATATCTATTACTTGGATTACTCAATGGAACTGACAGATCCTCATCACCAGCAGGTGGACCGGCCGTGGGCGTCCTTCCTTCTTTCAAAGCCTTTCTTATATCAGCTGCTTTCCATGCTGCATATTTCTGTTTCTGCTCTAGCTGTAAAGAATCCCATACAAGCATTAAACAAACGGTAACACAAGTAATATTTTTGCAGCAAATTGTTGCCAAATAAGAAAGGCTTGCGAGAAACATGCAAATGCAATGAGGCATTCATAAAAAGGGAAGGCTCAATGCATTCAAATACACACATCAGGCTGAAGTGCTCCAAATTGATAAAGAATCTCGAAAAAGATGCTGGCCGCATAAAATGTTTTTGCCGTATTCCTGCCGAAGGTCAAAGAATATATGTTAAAAACTGATCACAGATTAACAACCAAGAAAATTATTTAAAAGACATAAGAAAGGAATATGAGCAAACATTTGGCAAAAGACAAGATGAATTATATTGATTTAAGTAGAGAAGGATGAAAAGAGAGAGAAAAAAAAAACTGTAATAATAGAAGATAATATTGATGTATAGTGAGTAATGATGTGTTACAAAAGACAAAGAACTGACTTAAATTTATACTAAAACTAAACTCCCAGTCCTACTTAAATAAAGAAACATATCATGAAAAATGGAAACCACTTCTAAGATACAATAACGATATTATGAGACATTTTCTAAATATTCTAACAAGAGATACATGGTACATAAAGAGAGTGGACGACTATCTTGTTTATAAGAAAGGAACAAGAAGCTGCAAAAATTCCTTGTAGTTGTCAACACAAAATTGAGATTGAACAATTGAAGCTGACGGGACAGAAGCAACAGATAAGCCTAAAGTCATATTCATTTCATGCCCAATAATACAATGGTTATATGCATTTAGATTAACATACAAATCTGCTCTTCCAGCACGATCTTGCTTGTCTGCTTTTCCAAACACATTCAAAGCAAATCCCTCAAGATATAAATTATCCTCAGGGCCCAACTGAATTGACTTTTTATCCTGTAAGGAAAAGGCAGAAAGATAAATATGGAAACAAATTGAGGATTCAACTGAGTAAGTAAAAATTGCATAAACATAACCAATCAAATATGTCAGCTGCTGCAAGTTGTCATGTCATGTAAACATTTCATACTACCATTATTCAGACTCAGAAACTGCCATTTAACATAAAGAAACTTGCTTCTTCTTTTCAAAAACAAAACAAAGTTTGGGATCCACAGGATCAATTAAAATATCAAACATAATTTTATTTTATTTTTGCGGGTCTTCTAGTGTTTTAGTTAATTTGTAATTAAGGAAAAATGAAATTAATGGCAGAAAGAAAGAGCATAGTTCATTTAGAACCTTTTCAAGCTGCTTCATAAGCGAAACAAGAAGAGCGTTAGTGGTCTTGGTGCGCTCACTCTGTGGAATCTTCAATCCCTGTTCCATCGCATATAATCGACCTAATTTCACCACAAAAAAAAATTGTTAATAAAAAAAATAATGATGATGATGATGATTAGGATATTTTAGATCAGTGAAGAAAAAACATGACATAGATTGGCAAAGGGGAAATTTGAGAAGACGCGAAACAATAATCAAAAATAGGTATCGATCTAAAATCAAAATATATATATAAAAAAAAAAGGAGAGAAATCAGATAATTACAGTAATAAGCGACGAGAGGTTCGTGCTTTTGCAATTCATCGGCGCGTTGAAGGTACGGTAAGAGCTGTTTCGCGGGCTCGTTCTCGTTCGCCATCCCAATTCTCAGAGATACTCAGAACAAGGTATTGCGACACACGACGTCGTTTGTTTACTTTATTCCAAAGTTTATACCTTCGACCGTCATTTAGTGCATTTTGAAAGAAAGAAAAAGCTTCTCGTTGAAAAAAAAAAAAAATTTGAATTGCTGTTACAAAAACTTAATAAGCAAGTATTGACAATTATATAAGATGAATTTTATATTATAAATTTTTATAAATTATATTATATCTAACCGGTTATATATATATATCTATTTTTTTTTGTAAATACCGGTTATATTTTAATTAAAGTATATAATCAATCAGACTTAATATAATTTGTAAAAAAAAAAAAATTAATGGATTCTTTTCCATTATATAATGTCATCACTTACAAATTTTAATTGATATAATCAAGATAATTTTAAAATTAAATTTGAGCTATCCGCTAAACCTGAATGTGAGGGAACGTAGGATGAGTTTACAAAACTCAACCTACCCTGTATTGTTCGGCGGGCACGGTAGGTCGGCCTGGCATGTCGAGTCCATTCAGTGCGATATTTGTAGTTCTAGGGAGTTCAACATAAGAAGTATCCCCACTGGATCAACTAAAAGACCAGTCCTAGTATACCCAGAAATAAAAGTCCAGTACTCCTCAACTCTGAGAAATTTTTAGCCTTGCGTCTAAAAACATTCACTAAAATTATATATATATATATATATATGTAAAAAAAAATATTTCTGCAGTTACTGCATATAAGTTATCTACATTTTTATTCCCAAAATAATGTCGTTTTGAGATTGAAAGCTTAAAAAATTATAACTATAAAGACTATAATAACTTTGGAATAAATTAAAATCACAAAAACACCAAAGTCGTATTAGGCTTATTTATCTGCAATAAGTTCAGAAAAAGCAAACTCATATATATATATATATACAGGGAATCATATATATATATATATATAGGGAAAATTGTTTGTCATTTTAAATGACACAAGGTTATGTCATGAAAGAGACAAACACATAATTTCATATATATATATATATATATATATATATATATATATATATATATATATATAGGGAAAATTATTTGTCATTTTAAATGACACAAGGTATGTCATGAGAGAGACAAACACATAATTTTTATTTTTTTTAAATTTTAAATTAAAAAAATCATTCACTTTCTCTTTCTTAAAATGAGATAACTTATGTCATTTAAAATGACAAACACCAAACTCATATATATATATATATATATATATATTCTCTTTATTCAACTTTAATTATCATTGGGTTAGAGAAAAAGTTAAACAAAGAGAGAAAGAAAAAAGAATAACAACTATAGAATCTAATGGTGATTAAAATTATAGTGGAGTGGTAATAGAAAAATTTAGTAATAAGAATATCCTACCTCTACATATATATATATATATAGAATATTTTTAGTGTCAATTTTTCTAGTATCACTCTAATCAGTATTGAATTAGATGAAAAGTTGAACGGAGAAAGAAAAAAAAAAAATTTGAATCAATGAAAATTAAAGCAGTAATAGAAAAAATTGATAATAAGACTATATATATATATATACACACACCGTGTTTGCTACAATGCTACCATGAGACCGACTAAAAAACTTTATGTGCAGCTAATGTATGTACATCCCTATCAAAAAAGAGGTAAGATTTTGGGACATGAAAATAAAAAAAATAAAAAAAGGATAGAAATGAATTTTTTTTCCCAATTTGATAAAAGAATATAGCCAAATAGTTACATCAATGTATTAAAAGATTTCCGAGATTGAGAAAGAAGGGACATTGTTATCTACACATTACAAATTCTCGTACCTTTATTCACCTTTACCGTACTTATAAGGTTCTCTCTTGGGTTTTCTTCTCTCTATCAGCTATTTTTGTAACAAAAGATGACGGAACAAAGAGATGGCACAGCAAAAAAAAAAAAAAAAATGGTGGCTTTATTGAGGAAAAACTGATCTCTTGCTTGTACACAATGTCAAATTAATAATTTTAACTGTTGTGTTTTATTAATCAAAACTCTAATTAAATAGACAATTACACATGAAAGCCATAATACATGAAAATAGGAATCACTTAAAGCTACCTCTATCCACTTTGTTAGGCTTGTGAAAACTGTCAAGACTTATTCAAACAAATTCAAATACTAGTCTTAACTAATTAGCAACAATAATAAAAGAATAAAATAAAATAAAAATTAAAAAATTCGTAACACTTTATTTTTTTCAACTCAAGTAATAATTTAAATAAACGAGCAGACTCTATACAATTTTCAAATACATTTTTAGGTCAATAAAAAATTAATTTTTACCCCTAATGTACCACATTTTTAGTGGAATTTAATTAATTAAAAGATGTTTGGTAATTGGATGCACTACACGCTTGTATGTTAAAAGATTATTTCATATTGTCATCTGAACTTGGTTCTGAACTCGGTTTGTAAGTTATCTGAATTGGTTTTCATTTGCACGCACAAAAACAAAATACACATTTGCAGACAGACAACTAAGCACGTTCTTTTACAATTTTTTTTTTTAATCAGAAAAAAGTTCATCCATGCCTCTGTAGTTTACTCCAAAATTACTCATGCTCCTGTGATTTTTTTTTATCGCATATATCCTTCTGATTTGTAAAATGGTATGTTTTTTTATCACATGTGATTTTTTACTTTTTACAAATAAAAAAACACAGGGCATAGGTAATTTTAAAATAAACTACAAGGACATTGATCAACTTTTTCCTTTTAATTATTAATCTGACTTAACACAAATAATAGTACTCGACTCCACTAGTAATTTGAAGTGGTTTAAAATTTGGGAAAAGTTATATTTATAAACTTTGTGTTTATAAATTCTTACAAACTACATTATATTTTACCGATAAGACACTCTTGAATAAAATCTTATCGATAAAATATAGACAAAAATATTTCTGCAGTTAATGCAGATAAGTTATCTGCCTTTACTTTTAAAACGATGTCGTTTTGAAATTGAAAGATTAAAAAATTATAATTATAAAGACTATAATAACCCTGAAATAAATTAAAATTACAAAAACACCATGATTTTCACCCCAAAACGACGTCATATTGGGCTTACTGCAAATAACTTATCCGCAATAACTTCAGAAAAAGCGAACCTTAAAATGTACAGTAATTTATAAATTTATAAAAAAAAATTATAAATATAACTCTACTCTTAAAAATTTAATTATTTTATTTGAACTAATTCAAGAATTGATTATTCAAGAATCAAACCACTTTATTAATTCGGGAGTATAAAAAAATCAAATCAATCGAACTTGTCTGTGAATTGAACCAAACAACAACACAATTTTTATTCTTCTAGTTTGATATAAAAAACCAAACCAAACCAAATTATGCACACCCTAAAACTGCCAACAGCTGGCTATAAAAAAAAACTGCCAACAGCTGAGTATTGTACGAAAACAGTCAAAAATGAAAGTGACGATTTTATTGTTTGGACGGTGACTTATATTAAATACCAATTACCAGCAACATGCTGCTGAGAAACCTTGGAGATTTGAAGATTCGGAAATTCGTATTTCATCACATAAAGGATGGAAAGTGAAGCAAACGAATTGATTATGAGCTAGGATTTGGAAAAAGGCAAGACTACCACTGTGTATACTTTTTATATTAAAGGGCTTCAATGGATAAGCCAACATGTATTGAGAAAACCTCCAAATGGCAAATATAACATACACAGCTCAGAACAGTTCCTCTCCAATTACTTGTCACTCACAGATTATATTCCTAAAGCATTAACTAGTAATATGACAATGCTACAAAGATGAAACTATGAGGTTGAAAACAAAGATCTCGTTATTAGGGTGATATCGGGATGGGTTCAGTAGCAGAAACTTGGGAAGCAGCATCTTCTTTTGATATGGCCACATAATTCACGGGAGCAACAGGTCTAGTATTATCCCTTTTTCCGTCTTTCGATGTGGACCTGCTTCCATTTTGATGAGCATTAAGCGATAGCCGTCGGTTAGGAGTACCATTGGCTCCACCATTAGCTCGAGGTCCCACTACCTTCTTGGCGCTGACTGGCCTAGCAGGGCTGGGTCTTGAACCAAAGATGGCTTCCTGTTCTGTGTTTTGCAGCTCGTGGTACTTCTTCTGGTCCTAAAGAGTGCAAAGTTCACAGGTTATGACCTCTCAGCAGAACAGTATGTACCAAATATAATAGTGAACAGAAATAGGCCAAGCTGATATTTTATATTTGCTCGTGGTCTTGTTATTAGCAAATGCTCAATTAATCTCAAAATCTGTCATCCTAATCATCTCATCGGTGAAGCTTACCCTCATCCTTCGTTTTTCCTCTTCCCTTTCATGCCTGAGCATGGCATATTCATCTAACATAGCAAGGAGAGGAACACCATCATAAGTGAATGACATGTCATGCTCTTCTTCCCATGCACGAGTTTTAGCAACCAATGTATCAACCAAAGCTGCATTTTCACCAAAACAAACAAAATTAATTATTCCAATAATGTGGAATCGTTTCATTTACTTACACTTACAGCGGATCAAATTAGTAATAATGGTACTGATGGTGGTTTTAGTCTCGATCAATAAAAACCTGGAATTTTGTTGACCAGTATCCGAGCTTTCTCTGCACGCTTGAGGTTTAAGTGTGCACCTCTGCTTGCATTATACCTGTTTTCATCCTGTTTTACAAGGTTGTGTCAGAGGGTAAAGTTATAATCCAAATGACAAAAATTATGTAACCTTTCATGTAATCATTATAACTTGCAGCAAAGCTAAAGCTAAAATTTATGTACGGAAACAAGGCCAGGCACATTTCAATTTTCTTATGAAATAACGAATCACTTAGACTGAAAACTTGTATGCTTGTTAACATGATAATAAATGCCCTTATCAGAATAGTACTATTTCACCTCTCCCACCAAAGCGGTGCACACCCAACCACAGACACACAGAATGAGGAAGAATGCAGAAGGGAGATTATAAGTACCCGGTTGTAGTCTTCAAGCCAACTCTCTTCTTCACATGCTGACATCCATTTCTCAACCTTGTCCAATATATCTTTTCGGCTTAAAGCTTCTTCTTTTGCTTTCGCTATCTGATTGTCCATATCAGCCAATAATTCAGTTGGTTCAATGTTTCCAGAATCAATTAATGCCATAATCTTCTCTCGGGCAGCTTCTGGATCTATTTCAATATGGGCACAGGAAAATATCTCCTCAAGCTCTGTTTGCTTCTTGAAAGCAATTTCCTTCATCCTGCTGGCTTTCAGCTGATCAAGCCTCTCAACTTCCACCTCAGCCTTTATACAAAGAACAGTAAAATAATCAGTAAGCATCTATTTTGGAGACCAAATCTGTAAACTTTAGAAGGTCTTTAGTACCTGCTCAATCAAATCCAGAGCAAGGGCCCCAGGAACAGTGACTTCATCGACAGAAGCAGACATATTACACGTAACATGGTCAAATAGTCTCCTTTCCTCCGGATGGGTATCCATTAGATTCCACAGATCAATTAACTGTGAAGCTAATTCTTGTAGCTGCAAGGGATATACAGGTCAAAGTTAAAAAAGAAAAGAAAAAGATACCGTATATTAAAAGTCAAGCAGAAACGGATACACCATGTTTGTTCTAACACCCTAATATTATACTCTTTTTATACTAATTTTTTTAATTGAAACTTGTTTTGAGTTTGTAATTATTATTTTTATAATTAAAAGGTATTTATTTTTAAATATCCATAAAAGTTATTTCTAGTTGAGAGGGAGTATTCTGTGTAACTGAAATTTTGGTAAAAACTAAAATTAAGCTATAACTTCAATTATAAAAGTATTTTTAATTTATCATATCAAAGTTTATCTCAGAAAATATATTTCTCTTTGTTTAAAGAAACTTTTAGAGTTGACAAAGATTTTGATTGATAACGAAAACTCATTTTCTCCTACACACGCGCCCGCACACATATATTTATAATACTGGTAGAGAATCAAATCGTTTTTAAACAAAGTTAAGATGAATCAGTACATCAAGACAAAAACCATGGTACGCCAAAATTACTAACTTTTGAATGCATGTACAGTTAACAGCCATTGCATAAAAAAATAAGGAAATAAAACAGTGTTCTAAATGAATTACTTTGTGAAGCCTCTGTTTTTTATCTTCTTTCAGCGTCAAGACAGTCTTAGCCAGCCTAGCTAGGGTGTCGTTGCTTATACTTTTGGATTGAACACCAGCAGAGTCATTTAGGCTTGGATGAACCTCAGTTACGGTACTGAAGAAGTCCATACCAAGGACAGCACATAGATCATGCACAGTACTCACAAATTCAAGAACCTTGTGCAATCTCTCACTCTGCCAAACAAAGTAATGCAACAAAACTCTCAATATACTATTTAGTGAATAAAATCAAATTTTGTTTTCGAATTTGTGAGTTACTGATATTGGACAGTATAACAGAATTACCTTTTCTTTTTGAAGATCTTGGAGCTCACATTGATATTCATCTAACTTCTTCAGGGACAAGTCAGACTCGTCAACTGCAGGGGGAACATCACTAAGGTTCAAGTTCCCAGCTATTTCTCCACATATGTTTTGGATCTGTGACTGTACATCTGAGAACTCCCTTATTCTTTCTTCCTTTTGTTGCCATAACTGTTCAAGTATTGGTGCTATGGCTTCAAGCTCTTCCTTGATAGTTCCAGAAGTGTTTTCAGGCTGTGAAGTTATAAAAATTATGCACAGGAAGTTAATTTACCATTTAAAAATTTAAATGCATCACAAAGCTATATCTGCAGTTATCTCGTTTTGCATTGCCAATATAAGGATATAATTAAGTAGTCACTAACAATTTCAGCAAAGCTCTTTTCTCCAAGAGCTGATAGAAGACCAGAAAGCTCAAGCTTAGCATCAGACAAGGCTTGAAGTAGCTGTGCCCTCGACTTTGCAGCCTGCTCAACCTTTCTCTTGTACACATCCAAGCACTCCTGCTCTAACTGAAGAAGCATCTTGTCTCTTTCCTCGTCGCTCTCACCAACCTCATCCCATATTTCCTACAGCGAATAAAGATATTCTTACTATTCTGTAAACCATGAGCATCTTCAATGACACAGATAAATAGCTGAATGAAGTTACCTGAAGCTTCTTTAACAAGGAACCACAGGTGTTTTCTCCAAGAAGAGGATTTTGAGCCTCTGTCACTGCCATTTAAGTTCCAGCGCAACCTAGCCTGCACACACAAAAAAAAAAAAATGAAATTCATTTCTCCTTACACCGAACACACAGAAATATCTCTTCTGCGAAGATCAAGAAACAAACAGATATCTGAAAACTCGTCTTTGTACCAGGCAGGAAATTCATGTGACAACCATATAAATAAAAAACCAATAAAAAGGCATTGGTACATCTCATTCTGGGACTGAAAACTAGTCGCCTTGAAGAGTCGAGTATGGAAAAACTATAAAACAATATAAAAGGAACAAGGAAGCTAAAAGCGCAGTACACAATGGGAATGCGGAATTAAGTAAACCATAGTGAATGCAAACTGGAAATCCATTTTGTGTAAATATTGAATTCCAGTTCCCCAAATTATCCATCCCAATAGATGAACTAACGAGTTCAAATAAGGATCTATGGAAAGAAAAGTCCAAAAAGTTTCTAAATTATTATTATTTGTTTTAAATAAGGTTCGAAGTTGTTGAATTCCTTCAACTGCATCTGCAAAGCAAATCTCCGAACAAATCAGACTCCATTCAGCATACGTAACCAAAATCCAATGCAAGGTTAGCTAATTAAACTCACTGCGCAGAGGATCAAAACAAAATGCAATCAATTTACCAATCAGAAAACTAAATTAATCTAATGACAAGAAACAAGTAGCAAGAATATAAGCTTAGTGTTCTAGCAAGCTAACAGTGAAGTCCAAAAATGAAAACATGAAGAAAAAAAAAAGTAATGAAAGCAGAGTGAAGCAACAAGTTCAGTCCTTGCAATCACAGAGTAATGAGCAACAAGTAGATCTCTGAGTATGCGGAGATCAAGAGAAGGAGAAGAAGATGGGGAGAGAGAGAAATGAGAATGCTCACCGTTTGATTGAGGCTTAGGGTTATGTGGTTCTTTCAGATCTGAAACAGAGCGTGGGTTTCTGTGAGTTCTTGAAAGAGTGTGAGTGTGGTTGTGTTGTGTGTGTGAATGAATAATAGACATGAATAGATTACATCATAAGGAAAGAAAATGGACCCCACTAAGACTATCTCTTCTCTTCTCTTACTCTGCTTGTCTCCTAAGTCAATTCATTTATTGTCCTTCGTCTTCCCCTTTATTTACTGATATGACACTGTGTTTGCTGTATTGAAACATAAGTATTTATCCAAAACTAAAACTTATATCAAACACATTTTATGTGTGTGTATTCAAAAGTAGTAACTCTGATGTTAGAAAACGTTTAGAATATTAATAATATTTTCTTCTGATTTTGTAACTTAAATACATCAATTTTTTATCTAGCATATATGGAAAGCTTATATACATAAAATAGGAAATCTTGAGAAAGATGGATAATAATTATTATTATTATCAACCTGCACTTAATTTTTTTTTTTTTATATATAGTTTGCGTCATATTATTAAATTGGTCACTTGTTGTTCCCAGAATCAACTATAACTGTATTAAGTATAAGAAAATCTTTACTTTCTATTCACCGAAACAATTGCCTAAATCAATCATTTATTTCGAAACAATAATAACCAAAATAAGTAATAAAAGATAAGAACAATGAACAGAAGCTCTTGACAAAGTCCAATGATGTAATAAAATTAAAGGGCAGGGGCATTTAATGGTAACAAATGATAAGTTTTTTTCCTTTTAAAAAATAATTTTATTTTGTTAATAATTATTTAAGAAGAAGGGGGGGGGGGGGGGGGGGGGGGGGGGGGGGGGGGGGGGGGGAAGAATAGAAATAAAAAAGGAAAAAGAACAGGAAAGGAAAGCCCAGATATGAGGCAAAGGCAAAGGTCGCGGTCAGGGGTTGGGTGTCATCACGAATCAAACACATCTCTGTCCAAATGAGTAATGACACCATCAATGTGAAGCCACCTATATTTTGTTTAGTGCATAATAAGCTTTTGCAACGTGGAAATTAACAAGATATTTAAAATTTTGATATTTTCATTTCCCTTTGGACCATAACTTAGGCGTCTGATTTAGATGTCAGCATCCATTATTAGGATAATTGTTATTTGATCATGGATATCCTATATCATTGCTGCTGTTTGGATGGCCTACGTTACATCATGTTTACAGATAAATAAATGTTTATGTATCATTGCAGCATCAGAATTCTGAACATCCTCGGTGGCGCCATACTGTGTATATATATGGCCCCAAAATCGTCCCATGTGTAAAATCAGTGTTCTGAAAATTGAACCAGACCGGTCAATTCAACCGGTTCAATAGTAAATAAGTGTATTGGCCGATTCGGTCTGGTATGTAAAATTGGTATTTGAAAAATCCGGCTGCAAACTATTGTGAACCGATTAAATCAACAAAAAAAGAAAAAAGAAAAACAGGTAATGAATCATTTATGGATGAATAATAGTAGACATGTCACATACAAAAAATATATCAATCATTTTTCTTATTTTTCTATTTTAAGATAAAATTGAAGGAGATAACCAGAATGATTCTTATTTTATCATTTCATATGAAGAACATGAACACAAAATCTTTTAGTCTTTATTACAATTTTTTGCTTTTAATGTTAATAATAATATTCAATTTCTAAGACAATCATGAATTTAGATATATGACCAACAAGTCACATAACTGAGTATGCTTATTAAATTATGTAAAGCCGCTAGCTGTTTTAGTTAGAAACGTACGAACAATAAATTGCTAAGACTTTTATCATCCAACTTCCCAATTTATGTAGGGTTGTTTCCCAATTTATGTAGGGTTGTTTAGTAATAACTTGAATAAGAACTAAAAAAGACATAAAAGTAGTCACCCTTTAAGTCTCCCGGGGATTTCCTTCCTTTTATAGTTCTAAGTAATGACACTTACACAATATTTTTTTTCAGGTTTTCTACTAGTCAAATCATCATTATTATTATTTTTGAATATTAAAAATCATCATTATTTATTTTTCTCTGTTTCACACTTCACCTTTTCACGTTCCGAGAAAAATATTTTTAGTATTATAGATATATCGAAACTTGATTTGATATTTGTTTCCTTTTTAACAAGGAGCACCTATTTCCGTTGAAAAAAATGTGCCTTGAGACCCACTTTCATTCTTTGTGAGGTAATATACTTGTGTAAAAAACATTACGGTTTTATTCTGAAGTGTCTGTTTACTTGGCAGCAAGATATCTAGAATAAAGGTGATATATTTTGACTAGGGTCCTTTTATCAATGCATGCTTATTTATTTATTTTTAAAAAAAACTCTTTCCTCTTACATATTTTTATCTGACATTTTTCTTTTACATTTTTACACTCAAATTATTAAAAGTCACATCAATTTTTTTTTATTACTCAATCATTCATATTTTTTCTGGAACACACGATACTCATAATAAGTTAGTGATCTTATAAGATGAAGGGAGAAAAATAAATAGAGAGAAATGTAGATAGAAAAATAGAAGATCAAAATAAGCTGAATCTTGTGATCATTATATTTTTCATAGAAGTTATGTGTTATAAAGAATTTTAAACATGGATTGGGGGGAATAATTAGACTTCAACTCATTATTAATGTAATAATTACAAAATACATAAAAAAAAAATCAAATAATCATACGCATAAATATTTTATAACATTCCCTTTAAATAAATATTTTATATCAATATATATCGTTAAAATTTTATTAAAAACAATCTAATAAAAAAACTTAAACGAAAGAAAAAAATTAAAAAATTCAATTAACATACCGTATCTTATTTGATGCCAATGTGAGTTATAATGTACCATAACAATTTTTTTCTTTACTTTTATATGTTTAATTTCATGCAACACAACTTGCCGCTAACTCAATACACTGTGGATTTAGATTTTTCCTACATATATTATGCCATGGCCACTAAATGATAATCAAGATGCCAATGGAAGGCATAGAGTGTCAGACACATGTGAGTTGGGCCATGCCGCATGTGACATAAACCGGGAATAGTATATCTGAAACTTGTGGATTTGAATAGCTGCATTGACCAGCCGAAAGCAAACTCTCTAGCGAAGTCACATGCATATGTACTATCAATTATAGGCCAATCATCATCCAAATGACCATCTTGGCTAAAATAAACAGTGATTTCTTATGGCACCATCTCTCATGTGATTGTTTTTTTATAGGTATAATTATTTGTAAACCCTTCTCTCGATCGTATCATACCTACTTTCTTACTTACTTTTCTGATATGATACCCACTTCTTACTAATTAAATATTGACATCGAGGACCCAGTTCTTGAGTTTGCCATGTTGTGCCCTTTTTGTTATGCCAACGGAATGGAATTAAAGTCCATTCTAATTCTAATTTAATTTGCAGAAATTTAAAAGTTTTTTATTAGCTAGGCCTGGTTTTACTTTATTATGCTCATTTCATAATTTTACGTGGCTGACACTTAATTGTAGAGTAAATATCTTTTTTCGTCCCTGGAAATATTTGCGAAGCACAATTTAGTCCCTCGGTTTAAAAAAGTCACATTTCAGTATTTCATCTTTGAAAAAAAGGGTCACGTTTGTCCTTCCGTTAGTTGGCATCTAACGGCCCAACTAACGGTGCACACGTGGACCGTTACTTTGCTGAGTCACCGTTAAGTATGCCAGCTTGGAAGTAAAACGACGCCGTTTTGAAGGTGCCTTATGTCTTGTTGGAGTTTTGAACAGCTGAAGGTTCTATTTGGTCCCTGACAAATTTATCGAGGCCTTATTTGGTCCTTAACACTAAAAAATCACCATTGCAGCAAACCTTTCAAACCACCATTGCAGCAAACCAAGGCTTATGCTATTGGCCAAGGCTTATGCTATTCGATCAGATTTCCCATTGTTAACAACCCCCTGAAACCAAAAAAAGGATTACAACAATCTTTTACAATATATAACGAGCTTTCTACAGTACATATGAAGTGCCAATATGGATACAACCTTACCCAATGAAGCAGTAACCAACCCCTTTGAACGTCTAGGACATCCAACATAAGTCCTATTTAAAAGTACTTATGAGCCACTCACCTTCACTACTCAGGGTTATGCAAATGGATTATTTGCACCAGGAAGATGCTCCAAGTGGTTGCCCTTGAACTGCAGTGCAGGGGATTCAAGTACTGAGCCCTACATGGTCACTCACCACCAGATTCTTGCTCATGCAGCTGCTGTCAAAGTCTATAGGAACAAGTACCAGGTTACTATATAAACTATAATTAGAGTATGGAGAATATATTGATTGAGTCTTTTGATTTTATTCAAACAACCAGTGCACAATATATAGCCAAACAGAAAGCTGAAAAAGGAAAAATTAACTACAACCCCCACTGTTGATATGTCAATAAATGATTGAGATTGTTCACATGACATGATCATGAGATTGCTTTCCAACATAAACCATATTTGTAATGCACTACAGATTAGAATAAATTGAAGGGAGAGTCATCAAATTAGTTGTTGGTAAATTGGTAGAGATAAATTTAACTAAGAGTGGCTTTATTTCATTTAGAATTATCAAAAGGGACAAATTGGGATAACATTGAACTCTCCATGGGTAATGCCACTTTCCCAGTCAAAGGCAGATATAGAAGCAGCATCTAGAGCCCTTGTTTTCCTATATGACTGGTAATTTTTCCTACTTATTCTTCTTTTGGCTTCACATTAATTGCGGTGGTTATGGTTTATATGGACTTAATAAAACATCATAATATTTTTCTGGTAACGTGCCTAATGGATAAACGGACCTAACTCAAATTATTTCCTGACTTCCGAGGTTTAAGGAGCCACTGAATTCTGGATCATACCCTGCTGAAATGGTTGATAATGCTGGTAAAAGATTGCCAAAGTTTTCAAGGGAGCAGTCCTTGATGGTTAAAGGATCTTTTGATTTCATAGGACTTAACTATTACACCGCAAATTATGCAGCCAATGTCCCTTGTACAAGTGAAAACCAAACTATTTTCTCAGATGCTTGTGCTATTCTCACAAGTAAGACACAATAAGTGAAATATATTTTTTGGTTCAGTTTGATCTTTCTTATATTTAGAAAGCATTTGCTTACTTGAGATCTTAATTGTTGCATCAGCAACGAGAGATGGAGTTCAGATTGGTCCAAAGGTAAATGCATATTTTGGGATAACTGCTAAACACATTCAGTTAATAATAAAATTTTAATTTCATTGTTTAGCTAGAAAAGGTTTGCTGCAATGGTGGTTTGAAAGGTTTGCTACAATGGTGATTTTTTAGTGTTAAGGACCTAATAGGGCCTCAATAAATTTGTCAGGGACCAAATAGGACCTTCAGCTGTTCAAAACTCCAACAAGACATAAGGCACCTTCAAAACGGCGTCGTTTTACTTCCAAGCTGTCATACTTAACGGTGACTCAGCAAAGTAACGGTCCACGTGTGCACCGTTAGTTGGGCCGTTAGATGCCAACTAACGGAAGGACGAACGTGGCCCTTTTTTTCAAAGATGAAACACTGAAATGTGACTTTTTTAAACCGAGAGACTAAATTGTGCTTCGCAAATATTTCCAGGGACGAAAAAGGGTATTTACTCCTTAATTGTAATACTCTATGCAGTTTAGATTAATTAACGTATAAAAGAGAGCTTCAAGTAAGTTATTCAACCATTTAAAAAAAACTGCAATTAAGTAAAAGAAAAGAGTGATTTAACCAACAAAGCTCGATACAGTTGTTAGATAGCTGAGTTCTTTAAGCATGTTGACAGAAATTCGATTCCTCACTGTATGTATAGAAGAAAAAAAACTTTGTTGGTGGAGACTATATCTACTTTGGTAATTTCTCGGCTTTGAGAAAATTAATTTTCGTCTATTTGTTAGGAATACCCTTAGGGTGTGTTTGGTTGAGGTTTTCTTTTGGGATAGATGGGGAAGTGTGGGTAGGTATCCCAAAATGCTATGTTTGGTACAAGTTTATGAAAAAAAAGTCTAGGAAAGAAGTTTGCAAATGAAACCATATTACAGTTGATTTTGTGTTCAATTTCACTGTTTAAGAATACCTCTTGAGATATGGTATTTATGGAAAACTAGGGAAGTGGAAAACTGAGAGTGGTTAGGTAAAATTACTATCCCGTTAATTAGATTGGCTAGGTAATTAGATGGCTCGGTAATTATCTATAGTGATGAACTAAAGGAAACATCTTGAAATGATTGATCAATTGTAGGATTACTGATGTACTTGTACTTGTTTGTTTAACACTGAATTTATTGCCTGAAAAGAATATGGCACTCTTAGTGCAATGATCTTATCACGGTGAATCAAATTTTTCATTAACGAATATCGATGAAATCCAAGAAAAAAAAACTTTTTTTATTTTGGAAAGAAACAAAGGGTTCTATTCTAAACAAGGATCTGTGACAAATATCTGGACATACAGGTTCATATCTCTCTCACTGAATACACGTTTCAGAGTTTCACTGTTCTGTGATCTCACTCAAACAATACAAATACTAGACTCCATTGAATCCTTTTCCCAAATCAACAACCAAATTTCAAACTTTCTCGAATCTCGAAATGTGAAAGGAATCAACCCTAAAAAAATTAATAAAAAATATAAAAAAAAACTTACTGAGCAGAAAAATTGTTGAAAAACAAAAACCTAAAGTAATCCCCGCATAATGTGATAGTAAACGAAGTAATCCAGATCGCGCCAAAAATAAAAAGAAGAAGAAGAGGGAAACAAAGAAAAGAAAAAAGAAACCTCTCAAAATAGAAATCAATCAGAACCTAATTGATTTAATTACAATGAATTTCTCACCTTCTACTGATAAATAAATTCCTCCGATCATATTAAAGGGACTTGAAACTCAACGCATCAACGCATCAATGATCAGATTCCACCTCCTTGGTCTCAAAAAAATAAAAGATAAAAAGAGAATCCAGATTCGATTAAGGAACAAGGCACATATCGTGAAATTCGCGGGTGATGGCAGTTTTGTGATTTTGAAGCTGAGAGCAGGAATCGGAAAGCAAGTAAGAGAATTAAAAGAAGAAGATAAAAATTGATGATTTCGGGTTACCAAAAAATCTTCCTATGAAAAACATAATAATAAAAAATAAAAGGGAATAGGAGAAAACGGTTTCAGTTGGGAAAAAGGAGCGAGAATTAAGGACAGATGTTTTTACTATGAGAAAAAAAATTACAAAACTCAAAGAATTAAACAACCTCGTATTCATACTGTAATTTGAGCCACTAAAACAGTGATATCATCTTTCTTTCCACCCATATGACTGTGTCCTTCTCTCTCAGAAGCATCCTGAAAAGGGGTTCGAAAATCTTTAGACTTGGAAAAGGACAGAGCAATGTCTGCTATGTGCTGAGCCAAATCATTAACTTCAAACACTCCATTTGTCCACCTCAGAACTTCTTCAATATCATCAGCGTACAAATTATCAAAAAGTCCATCACTACCTAACACTAGAATATCCTCTGCCTTTACTGAAATCTCATACTCATATGCAGAGTCAGAGCTGTCACTAATCTCATTATTCCCCAACTGAAATGGTGTGTTGAAAGAGTGCTACTGGATGGGTGATTGAAACAAAAGCCTATTATTTCTAAACAACATTAAACCACTATCACCCACATTAACTCCATGCAACACCCCTTCTTTCAGAGTAACAATAGATGATGCGGTAGATGATCCTTTTGCTTTGGTATTCAAGAAAGCATCATTCAACACTTTTCTTGGATCAACAAAGCCCTTTGATCGAAGTTGAACAGCATTCATAGCTTCTGTCATGAGCTCTCTGGCATATTCACCAGCATCGATTCCTTTCTTGGCCCAACCACCGACCCCATGAGCCACACCCATGGTTTGCTGTTTCTCACAGATGTAGAATGCATCTTCTCCCATTGGTTTCTTTGGGTTATCCTTTGGATAGTAGAATTTCCCAGCAACCATCTTCAACACCTTCAACCGTTTCTTTGGCTTCTCTCTGGCAACAACGTATTTATCACGAAGACGCTTCTTGATAATCATCGTCGACTCGAAGGTTTCAAATTTCAAAGAAAAGAAAAGATGGCGCAAAGAAAGAAATAAACAAGTGTGGGTTTGATAAAAGAGATATGTAGTGAAAAAATTGTAAAATACAGGTATTGTAAAACTAAACTGAAATGTGCTCCGATGTCTGAATATGACCGCAGGGTGTGCTTTCTTTAGAAGATTATAAGGAATCATGTTTTAATTTCAAAGAAAGTTTCAGTGATTTGTGAAACTATACAGAATCATGCTGAGAAAATAAACTAAATCATACGAATATCTTTTTAATACAGATTATGTTTTATTTAAACCAAAACTTAAGTGATTTGCGATTCCAAAATTGAATTTACGTACCCTTATATTAAAGTGGTCTTAATTAAAGGCAATTGATGCTTGTCATATTACAATGCTACCTTAAACTCCACGTGATACTTTTTTTTCTTACTATTCATGTTTTTCTAAATAATTAGTCAAAAATTTAATAATTTTTGTTTTATTTTGAAACAAAATAATAAAATTCAATTTTCTCAATTCGTTTTGTCTTATTTATTCTTACATTTAATTTTTGATAAAAAAAACATAAAAAATTTCAATCATTACAATTTTTTTTTTCTAAAATTTATTTACTGTTCGTTTCTTAAATAAAACTAGCAATTAATATTTATTTTTATAAATTTCATTTCTTTCTATATCTCCCAATTATTTCAGAAGAAAAGCAAATACTCATAAATTTAGGTAACTATTTTTTAAATGAATATATTAAGGGTTCAAATTTTCTTCATTCCTCATACATAATTAGAGTTTTGAACCTTGATTTACATTTTCAAAAGACCAATTTGTCAAATAAATTTTTTCTAATTTTATCAAATCCAATAAAATTGATGGCAATCTTATATTTTTGTTTTGAATTTTTTCGATCGTTACAACGGCTATCATCTCACAATTTCAAAAAGAACTCATATGATGCCAACATTTGACGCTCTATTAAAAAAATAAAATTAAAAGAATATAAACAAATGAGTAGCACAAGTTTAACTTTACTCAATTAATAAAAATTAAAAAAAAAATCAGTTAGACGTAAATACAACGCGGCTGGGAAAAAAAATCAAAAAAGGATTCTCCATACCACAAATGTTAGATAGAAAATTTGTTTGAAAGCTCCATCATAATTGACAAATAATTTCATTTAACTAAAAACATAATTGATGGACAACATAACAATATGGGTAGTTTGATTAAATTAAAATATTAATTAAACTAAGATCAAATCACAACTACTAAATGAAATAATATCCATAGCTAAGAAAATTTTAAATTAAGAGGGTATAAAAGCTCAAATTATATGCATTTTGGAAAGATCATATGCTGTGATGAGTACAATTTGAGGAATAAGGCACAAATATTATTGAGGAAGATTCCATGAAAAAAAAAAACAAATGTAAAAGAATGTAAATTTCAACAGGCACTGACTAGTTCAAGGGTACTAGGCATATAGGTTCCTGCTAAGAAGGCTTTGAAAAGTGCAAGAGCAAGTTTTGGTTTACGCAAAGGAACTTCATTTCCTCCACCCCTTATTAGATTAATTGAAAACAAATCAATTGGATTGATTGACTAAAATTAAGGAAATTAATTAATTAAATTAATTGGCTAAAATTGAAAAAACAAATCAATTAGATTGATTGATCAAAATTAAGGAAACCAATTAATTAAATCAATTATAAGAGAAATTTAATCATAATTTTATAAAATGTTTGTATAAAAGAAGGGTTTGTTTTTTCTAAAGTTACTTTAGATAACTTTATCTAATGTTCATCGAAACGACGTCGTTTTGGGACGGAAATCATGGTCTTTTTGTAATTTTAATTTATTTCAGGGTTATAATAGTCTTTATCATTCTAATTTTTTAATTTTTCAACCTCAAAACGACGTCGTTTCGATGAACATTAGACAAAGTTGTCTAAAGTAACATCGGAAACTTTTTTCCATAAAAAAAAAATCTTAGTAATTAAAAGCATTATATAATCAATCCATTTTATGCACCTTATTTGATTATATAATCATAACGTTTTTGTTCTTTTTTTTGTTTGGTTAACATTCTTTTGAAACGTAATCATCATCTAATCACTTGATGTGATTTAATTATAATTTATAACATATGATTTTATTTTTTTAAATTTATGATTTAGTTATCTCGTAATACTTTATTTCCAAATTTGAATTTATGATATCATGCATTAAAAACTTTTATTTTCGTTTCTCTTTTATTTCCGTCATTAACATGGGCGATTTAACTGTTATTAAAAACTTTTGTTTTATTTTTAAAATTATTTCAAAAAAGTAATACCTTTAAATTTTTCTATGTTAATTTTTTTTATCAAATATTATTTATTTATACTTTCAAATTTATTATTCTCAATTTTCGTTTATAATTATAATATATTTATTATTCTCAATTTTAACTTATCATTTTTTTAATTTTAAATACAATTTTCTGAATTGATTATGCACATTTTCTTTATATTTTTAATTTTTTTCATGTATAATTTATAATTTTTACTATATGAATTATGTATACACCTCTTATATATAATTTTAAACAATTTCTAAAAATATACTTCATAAGTAATGTAAAAAAAATAAAAAAATAAACTTCATAATTCATACATTTTGAATTTAACTTAAATATAAAATATTTGTATAATGCACGTGATAATTTTCGATAACCTAACAAATGCCCTTATTTAGTCTGGTTTGGGTTCTGACGCCGTGGTTTTGGTTTGGGTTTGTTATGAACCTGACAAAGGCTCGTATTCTAGAATGACCAATAAAGGACAGCACAAAAGGAAAGGAATCTCTTATTCATGACGATCCTATCCAGACAGCTAAGCAGTTGGACTTGGGCCTCCAATATTCCTAAGAGGCCCAGAAGTACACTCCTTCAGGTAACCCATCTATAAATAAAGGGTTAAACTAATAAGGTACACACTCTCTAAAAACCCTATCTCTTAGCTTGTCACTGTGCACACACCTCACGCCTTGACTATGTCGATATTATTGTGCACAGTGATCGGCCTACCATCAAAGGTATCTCATTCATAGATACCTAAGAGAGGGCACATAGATCCCACATAAAATATACCAGCCATCGGCTGGACATCTCTGTCTTTCAGACAGAACATTGGCGCTGTCTGTGGGGACCGATAAACTTCGATTCCCACCCAATGGTGGTGAAAGCGCAGAAGATGCCACCATATCCAAAGTCAGCAACCAACAGTTCAAGACTGACCGACTTCAACAAGCATGACGAAACCGAGATAAGGGATCACGATTATGATAAAGATCATGACTGTGATTGCAACTGCCACTGTGATCGTGATGGGCAGATGATCAAAGTGCCAAAAACAAATAAGGAAAGGACAGGAGATCCACTCAGATAAGAAAATTATTACTTCTATCTATAATATGATTTTATTTACTTCCTTTTTATCATATAAAGAAAAGATGATAAAATATGAGTAAGATAAGGAAACAATTCCTTATACTTTAATTTGATTTTATTTCTTCCCCTGACATGGTATAACTCAGATAAAAGGTGAGGAGATCCATTTGTGATAAGGAAATAATGTCATCTATTTTAAATTTTGAAATTTAATTCATATAATATGATTTGAATAAGGAAACAATCAAGCCTTAGGAGGAAAAAGCAATAAAGAATTGCGATTTCCAAAGAGGCAGCATATGAGGATTACGATTTCGTTTGATCATTTCTATCCTAATATCCCTCTATATTATTTATCATTTTCATGGCGTTTCTGGGCATATGAATTACTTCTTAAATATGTGCATACAATATTATATGCCATGATGATACCATGATTCTTTGGGAAATTCATTTAGATACTAATTTATGTCTTGGTTAGTATATATGCCTTGAAGCATTGGTCACTATCTATCAAAAAGCACAGCTGGTGTATATTTGCAATAATTCTGCAGTTTAAAAAAAAAAAAAAAAAAATACTCCAAGAAGAGAATTGATTAGATCTTGCCGGATGAGCATAAGCATAAGCTAAGTCCGTGATCTTGGAACCCTCACGTTCCTCGGACAGCCAGATGAGCACAAGCTAAGTCCTCCTACTCATTTATTTATACATTTCAATATCCTTGAAGTTAAATAGTGAATAATGTTTATTTACACGTTATTCTCTCCACTTTCCATAACTTGCTAATATTCCTCGATGGAGTATTATAAACGGCTGAATTACATCAATAGCCATTGATTTCACATTATTATATTTAAATTTTATTCATTGCTAAATATCTTTGAATGCCAATTAATTAGCAATTGCCTGAAAGGTAGGCTATGATCATCATAAGAACCAAATGGGGACGAATGAGAAGCCACGATCAAATGGGGTCCACTTCGTATACTTAAAAAGCCAAGATAAAGTTATTCACGTTCTTTTTTCAAAAGCCAAGATCAATTGGTTTTTGGGTATTAAACTTGTGGACCTACGTGAATTCAATCTTGAAGCCATTGCAATTTCTTTTGCTAAAGCTTATTAATGTGTTATCACTATAATATTATTATATTGTGATAAAGCAAATTTTTTGCTTTCTTTATAAATTAATTGTTGGAATAGAAGATTTTATATGTTGTTATGATTTGCTGTGATATGTTGTAACCTGTAGTTTGTTAGGATATGTATAACTGAGTCCTATTGTAATTAGGTGTAGTTACTTATCTTTAGGAAGTTGTTTTACTATTTGGTAACAGACTGTTTGGTAACAGCCGTAACAGCCTATTCTATTTAAGATACATTGATGTACAGTTTTAAATCAATGGAAATACTATCAATTGATACCATTTATCATGGTATCAGAGCGATCCCTTGTTAAAAAAAAAAAAAAACTTCCGCAACGTGTAGACTCTGAAAACAGTGAGCAGGAGATAGCTTCTGTTGAAGATGGCCAATGAAAACAGCAGCAGGTTGAAGCCATCA